AAAATTAGCTTCCTTATCCAATGGCTTCATTCACTGTTATCCATATAAACCAAGTTCTACAATTCTAGGTTTCAGGCATTTCTAGATTGATAACAAAAGATTACAAAGTTCATGAAAATTTAAATAATGCTCCATTCCCACAAATCAAGATGTTGACTTATGAAAAAAAGCACACTTCCACTCATACAAAAATGTAGCTAAAAACTAAAGATATTTAATTCTTAACATTTTTAATGTAAGTAGCTATGAAAAACCAAATTCAATTAGCTAAAAAATGCTCTCCACATGCATTCTTTTCTTCTAATTTTACCACATCTATTATAGTTGGTCTCCAAATTGTATGTTTTTCATTGTTACTGAACAGAAGTAAATTTCTGAAATCTAATATTTTAGCTATTGATAATTGATAGTTAAAACATCCATTTTAACTGGTAATAAACTACTAAGAAAACACAGGTCTCAGGTATAACTATGTAATTCTATGACATGTTCAAATGGGGCAATATTTATTTTAAAACTCTGTGTTTCATTATACTTCTAAAATTCCCTAGAATTAAAGATAATCATCTTTCAGAAGAAAGAAAAAAATTTATATTGGGGTATCTTTTGTTTTTAAAAAATCTGTGACTGTTAACCGATAGGTTGTCTAGAAGTTAACTACCAAAGAAGAATTTTTGTAAGTGTAAAATAAAGTTTTCTGTGACATGACTCTAATATATTACAGATCATTGGTATGCATGGTTAAAGTGGGCCACGGTAAAAATTATACACACTAGCCGGACGTGGTGGCTCATGCCTATAATCTAAGCACTTTGGGAGGTGAGGTGGATAGATACCCTGAGCTCAAGAGTTTGAGATCAGCCTAAGCAAGAGCAGGACCCCATCTCTAAAAAATAGACGGGTGTTGTGGTAGGCGCCTGTAGTCCCAGCTACTTAGGAAGCTGAGGCAAGAGAATCGCTTGAGCCCAAGAGTTTGAGGTTGCTATGAGCTATGACTCTATGGGACTCTATTGAAAGTGACATAGTGAGACTCTACTCCCCACTCCCCCCCCAAAAAAAACATATATATACACACACACAAGACTTTAAACAATCATAAATTGGCTTGGCGCCTGTGGCTCAAGCGGCTAAGGCGCCAGCCACATACACCTAAGGTGGCGGGTTAGAATCCCTAGCCCAGACCCGCCAAACAACAATGATGGCTGCAACCAAAAAATGGCCAGGCGTTGTGGCAGGCGCCTGTAGTCCCAGCTACTTGGGAGGCTGAGGCAGGAGACTCGCTTGAGCCCAGGAGTTGGAGGTTGCTGTGAGTGTGATGCCACGGCACTCTACCCAGGGGGATAGCTTGAGGCTCCGTCTCAAAAAAAAAAAAAAAAAAAATCATAAATCACTGAAATAACAGCATCTAGTAATCTCAGCAGATGCAGAGAAATCCCTGATTACAGGTAACTAGGTGTCGTAATTCCACCTTTACTCAATCCTGCATTTAATCCATCTGTATAAACTGAAATAATGAGTGCCATACAAACTTCAAGTAATTCTTTCACTGTACCAAGACCATAAGGTATATGATGTGCCAAGAAGTTTACAAATAGGGATTTAATTTATTTTTTTTTTCACTGACTCACCAAAATTTAATTTGGGGCCTATACATGAGACATTCTGCTAGGTTTTATAGTCATATCAGAAGCAAGACAGACATGATATCTAGCACCATGGAGCTTACAATCTAGCAAATGAAACAAATCATTACTTCAACAATTCTAACAAATAATAAACAAACTCGGCCACTAAACAGACAGCTGTAAATGGTTATTTCTCGTCTTCTTTTCTCTTTCTTTTTTATTTTTTTAACTGATAACCAGAGACAGTGAATGCTTCTAGTTTAATACAGTAACATAGAAATGTTCCAGTTAGTATAGTAATATTTCAGCCAGAAGCAAACACTATTACTTTCTTTCCAAAGAGTTGGGAACCCTCTTTTAACATATAAATATCTTATATAGAAAGGACAATCATAATTTAAATAAATACATTTGACAGTTTTGCATGATGTAAGACAATCAAAAATTTTTAATTTTCATGGTATATTATAAGCAGTACACACCTCACAAAATTAATGTGCTCAAAAATCTCTAATTCACAGTTAAAGTATATTTTCCCTTAGGGATCTCATATGTATATATGACAAAATATTCTGTTCCTCTGCTGATCAGTTGTCCTTGCTGATCTAAGCAGAGGAACAGAATATTTTCTAAGTAAGACAAGGAGAGATATGTCCCAAATCATATAACTTGTCCTGGCATTTAGTAGCACAGTAGGATGTAGATGCCTGGTCTTTAACTCCAAGGTCACCACGCTTTTCACCACGCTTTTCATTATATCAGCCAGCTTGATGTGCCCTATTTTAGAATAAAGCATCAGTAGAACTTTATAATGCCAACTAATAAAATCACCAGCATAATAGGAGAGGTATAAAAGTATCAGCTTTTAATTCATCATCAACCATAAATGAAACTACCAACACCACTAAAAACATACACTATAACTGAGCATAGGAGGCAATTCTGCCTGGTGCATGGGAAAAAGGCTTTGTAATGGCTATGTCTATCATTCACTTAACTATTCAATGAGTCAACTCTAAAGAAGACAAAAATCAAATCGGTTTGTTACCACTGGAATATGAGAACCTTTTACTTTTCAACTATCTGATCTAGTGATAACGTGTCTCCTTACAAATAGCCTTCCTCTTTTTTATGGATACGCAATGCTTGAAAAAGCATTTAACTCACCAGATCTTGCTAGTTTATCTTTTCCATTTGTACAATGATAATCATATTAAACTCCTACGAGGTCTTGCTTTTGCTATGTAGTCTGAACTGAGAAACAAAAGGCAGCATTCTCATATGATAGATACCCTGGTCTGTTAGTATATCCCATATAAAAATCTATTCTCTATGAGCCAGATAAAACCTATACTTGAAAATAACATAAATGTTATTTCCTTAATCAACTATATCAGTAGATGTAAAGAAACAGACATAATCCTTCATTCTAACAGTCCTATGGGAATATCTTAATTTTCTGACTTATCAAAATAGAAGAGAAAGTGAGTTTCTAAAAATTGGGGGCCTTATCTTAAATTCCTTAACATCACCAACAATTTTTTCCATATTAAAATATACTATTTAACGTTTAATTGTGCTCCTTCATTAAAAGTCATGTATGTAAAAGCATAGAAAAAAATTTTAAGTATTAAATGAAGGGAAAATAATCACCCTCTATTCATATTTCAGGATATTTTATCTTTTTTGTCTATACATATTTTTATAGTTACCAAGGAGTTTTGTACCTATTTTCCCCTTGTTACAGTAGAATCGCCTTATTAAAATGTATATGTATTTTATGGTTACAAAATATTCCTTTGTAGCTTTTCCTAATTTACCCTCGAAACAAGGCTAGACATTTAGGTGACTTTGTTTTTTAACATCATAATAAAAACATGTGAAAGGATCCCAATTTATATTCTAACTTGTAATAGCTATCTGGTTTCAAACAAATTACTTTGCTTCTATGATCCTCTTATTCTATGATCATGAGTTGGTTTTAATAAAAACATATGCAAAATGTCTAGCACAGTACCTGATACATGGTACTCAGCAAATTACAGTCACTACAAAACCCTCCCATATTTCAATTATTTCCTTAGACTAGATTCCCAGAAGTAAAATTATTCATTATAAAATAATGAATATGAATATTTTTAAGGCTTTTGATAAATACCACTAGAATATTTTCCAAAATGTTTATACTAATGTTGATCCTCAACAGCAATGAATGAGCTCCTGACTAGTAAAACACTGACTCAGAAATTATGGTCAATGAAAAATCCAATTACCTAAACAAAATAAAACCTTATTATCATTGAAATAGAAATCACTAATAAATGAAATTCAGTGTAGACTTACCCTGCATGAGGGGCAGCTATCCCTTTATGCGAGGGAGATAAGGTCTGCAGTTTGTTTCCCACAGAGCTGCTAACTGAGGATACTTTACCTGAAGGTACACCTTATAATAAAAAAGGTATTAGTTTTAACAATACTCTGAAAAAGAAAAATCACATAAAACAGATCATCTGACAAAGAAAACAATGCTTTAGCATTATAATATTCTTTGTGCCTGTAAGTCAAGTTATCAATGAAGGAAATGGATTTTTTTAATGACTTTTACTGAGAACAACATACAGCCTTCTTCATTTTTCAAATCTAAATTTCTCTCTTTTAATTTACATACAGATAAAGGTATACTTCATTGGCCAGTATCGTCTTCATATCATTAAATATTTGTATATCAAGAACAATTGTCAAGTAAAGAAAAGTATAAAAAACTAAGGTAAAAAGGAAGGGAAAAAATTACAGTCAAAGAATCAAGAAAAGAACTTGGTCAACCATTCTGAACAGATGACACATCATTCTCATCAGGGACAGACATTTAAGCTAAAAAAAAAAAAAGTTACTTTATTTTTGCCCAGAAATAATTATTTATCCTTCTACATTTCGTCTTAATTACACCTCTAATTTTACTAATCCAAACAGACCATCATCTTCATTTCCTTCTCTACCAACATGTTTTTAAAAAACAAATCAAGTTATTTTATAGATTTTATTACCTACAACAGTTTTGCTAGTGCCACTTGGTTGCGGTAATCGTGAAGATCCTGAAGACGTGGTTCCAGGAGAATTTGACTTTTTAAGTGCAGGAGGCTTATACTAAAATTAAAGAAAATAAGATATGTTATCAACATGAATTATAAACTAGCAAGACAAAATTTAACATTCACTGAGTGTAGAATTTCAGTTTTATAAGATGAAAAAACATATGGAAATGGATGGTAGTGATGGTCGTACACCATGATTCATGTATTTAATACCACTAAGTTGCACGATGAAAAGTGGTTAAGATGGTAAATTTTACATGTATTGTATCACAGTTTAAAAATATGAAAAAACAGCACATCTCCTTAAATGAACAGTCTTTTTATTACCTACCCAATTCCCACATTGAGAAAGTCCTGATTAAAATTTATCACCTCCGAGAAAAGTTTCCCAAAACATGCTCCCTCTCAAAATTGGGGTACTAAAAGTACAACTCAGATGTTCCATTGCTAAAATACATTCTGAGCAACTTTCTCCAGTTCACACACACACACACACACACAAATCAAAGCAACAGTCTAATGGGAATAATTTCCTCTACAATAAGATTCAAAACACCAAACAAACTTTAGAAAAACTTAGAAACACCTAATGATGCTCACTTGGTGGTGCATCTTTAAAAGTGTAACAATTTTTACCTGTTCCTGAATGTGGTTTTTACTTCATACATAGAATTCAGCCGTACTGCCTACTGAGAAAAATTCATACAATTATCTGCTAGTTTTACTATAGCTGCCTATGCATTTCTCCAAAGCAGAAAGAAACAGCTAACTGCAGCTTCACTCTCCTCACCAGAGAACGTCAGATGAATGGAGTATGGGCTGATGTGACAGTGAACATTTCAGCTTGTTTATTTTTCCCTCTACTATCCAGATAGATATCACTATGAATTTTATTAACCCTTTTTGTGACCAATTTTGCTCAGTTCACTGAATACAAAAATATTTTAATGATTACTAGCTTCAATAGACATAAACTTGTCCCAAATTAACAACAAAGCAGAAATTTAAAACTCATGCCACCTCAGTTCCAGCCTGACACTTCCTCCGTGTGGTGACAACTACATCTGTATGTGTGCTTGAGATCTAACCCAATACAGTATCTAGACTGCTTAGAATATTATATGAAAAATAGATTTAAGCCCAATTTTCAAAATCATACTTTATAACCAATAATCAGTATAAAATTTAAGATGTAGGTGACTACACAGAACAGCTGTCTAAAACCAATTTTTCATATACATATTATGTTAGGTTTTTTGTGTGTATTGTTGATACTGATTGCAAATCTAACAAATTTCCTTAGTCAAATATTTGTATTTATGAAGATTATCTACTGAAATTGGGAAAAGGTTAAATAACATGAAGAGTATTCATTTCTGATTAAATGGTAGAATAGACTATTTAGGCCAACCTTTCAACTAAAAACTAAAAATGCTCAGGAAAGTATAAAAAAATTATTAAAGCACTGAGTGTCAGCTGAGAGAACAAGGAATTCCCAAGCCAACCCATGTGAGAGTATATTAATTATAAATACCCGGCTACCACAGGGATTTGATGTATAAATCTATGTTATTAGGCTGGGAAAGCAGACAAAAGTCAATAATTTAATTTCAAACATTTCCAGACTGAGAGTACTCTTAGTTACCCGAAAGGAACAAGCACAAATCTCTAGAAGGCGGCATGTCACGTGAATAATAATCATGAATAATTTTTTAAGGGCAACAAGTAGCAATAGCAAAGGTCAATAATTATTATGGAAAGAAGAATATAAGGAACCACGAATGAAGAGGCAAAAAGACAACAGGCACGCATTCATAAAAGTCATCTGATAATATAATCACTGAACATATATTACAAAAGAATTATGCTTACTACACTTAAAAAATAAAAGATAACTATGAAAATATTAACAGGAAATTGGAAACTATAAGAAATAGGAAATAAGAAAAATAGCCAACTTCAAGAAGTTAAAAACATAGAAACCAATTACAAACTCAATGATAGAAGAGTGCAGTGTCTACAGAATCCTCCTATAGATAACAATTGCAATGAGAGGGTTTTTTAAAAATGAATGTAAGAGATTGGAAACCCTGGAGAACTCACAGCTGTGTACTCTCAGTCTAAATGCCCATTAATCTCCCTCCCCCCAAAGAGAAAAGAAATAAAACTTTGCAGTAGAACAAAATAAATACAAGAATTGATGTAATATATTAGCTACTATGTCCAGTTTTCAACCAAACATTACCATTATAGAAGCTGGAATGTATAATCTACATTCAGCAAAAATTACAGCCAACAGAAAATCTCTCAAAGGGTCACAGGTGTTAGATTTAGCTAGCAGCTGCAGTCTTCAAGAAAAAAACAAAAACCAATTATATGGATAGAATTAGAGAATATTATGCTAAGTGAAATAAGCCAGGCACAAAGATACAAATACCACATGTTCTCACTTATATGTGGAATCCTAACCACTGTAGTGCCAAGAAGCAGAGAAGAGAATGAAAGTTACCAGAGGCTGGGAGTAGAGGGAAATGGGGAGTGATGCTCAAATGGCATAATCCTCACTCAGACAGGAGGAACAGTTTTATTACGTTTTTACTTTGAGATAAATTGTACAGCCACGGTGAATATAGTAAATAATAACATAGTGTACATTTAAAAATATCTAAGGAAATAAATTTCAATTGTTCTCACTACAAGAAATGATAAGGATCTGAGGTAATGGATATGTTAATTAACCTGATTTAATTATTCCACATTGTATTCATAAATCATAACATCGGCATCACTTAATTCAGCTATAACCTGCAAATTTATAATTTAAAATAAATAAAAATAAAGCAGTGAGTTGAACAATACACATAAAAAATACTAATAGGTTTATAATGTTTATATAGTTACATAGACACATATAACGATAGAACTAAGATTGGTAGAAAGTCATTGAAAATACCCATAGAGGGGGATAAGTTAAAAATGCATTGTTATTCCTATAGCAAAAATGTTTTAAAAATACAAAGTTACAGCTAGAAAGCCAATAAAGAAAATAAAATGCCTTTTATGAAAGCAAGAAGGATAAGAAAAAAACAAAAGAATTTTTTTAAATTATTATTATTTCTTTTTATTTTTTTTGCTGTTTTTAGCCAGGGCTGGGTTTGGACCCACCACCTCCGGCATATGGTGCCAGCGCCCTACTCCTTTGTGCCACAGGTGCCACTCAGAAATAACAAAAGAATCTTAAAAATTAATGACAAAAATAGAAAACAGCAACATGGCAGACCTAAGCCTAACCAAATCAATAATAACTGTGTTCAATGTCAATGCCTGAGCACTTCAAACAATAAGATGAGGTTATAAGGTTTCAATTTTTAAAAATCCCACAAAGAAAAACAAGAACCAATTGTAGGCTGTCTATAAGTGACATAAAAATACAAATTTAATTTTAAAAAAGAAAGAAAATATAAGAATACAATTAAGCTGAAATGGCTATGTTCTTATAAGATGATACTTTAATACCAGAAATATCGCCACAAACAAAAGGAGACATTTCACAATGGAAAAAGGGTCAACAAATGAAGACAACAAACTAGAAATGAAAACACAAATGAGAAGAGAAATTCAAAATATCTGAAGCAAAAGCTAGCAAATACAATAAAAAGTGTCGGGAAAAACACAATTTTATTTGAAGATTTTAACACATTTATCTCAGTAACTGATGGAATATCTAGACAAAAAGTCAGTAAGGACATAAAAGATCAGCCATTGTAACTGAACTGTTACAAAATTCAAAACGCAACTATTACAAACTTTTTTTTCAAATTATATGCAATATTCACTAAAAAAGACCATATTCCAGTCAATTAAAAAAAACTCAATAAGATGGAAATCTTATCAAATATATTTCCAGACCACAACAAAATTAAATTAAAATAAACAATAAAACATCCAGAAAAACCTCTTCTGGAAGTATGATTCACTTTGAAATAAACATGAGTAAAAGAAGAAACCACAAATTAGAAAATATTTTGAACTGAATGATAATAATGTTTATTAACATTAAGATTTATGAGTTAGAGCAATGGAATCAAAAGCCGTTTCTTTGAAAGGACGTAATACAATTGATGAACTTCTAGGTAAACTGATCAAGGAAAAAAAAACTGATCAGAGAGAACAAAACAAAAGACAGAAATATCAGTAGCAGGGATGAAAAAGAGTATCACTGAAAATTCTATAGGCATTAAAAGATAATACCTTTCAATCAATAAATTAAACTCACAGAATTTACAAAGAGACAAATTACTTGAAAGATGCCAATTGCGCTAACTTATGCCAAGAAGCAACAGAAAATCTGTACCACCTCATGTCTGCTAGAAATTGGTATCACAGTCAAAAACCTTTGAAAAAAGAAAACTCCATGTTTAAGTGCCTTCCATGATGCAGTCTAACAAACATATAAAAAAGGAATAACAGCAATACTGCACATGCTCTTTGAGAAAACAGGAGAAAATAGGTGCAAACCCATTATAAGGCCAGTATTTTCCTGACACCAAAACTAGCCAAAGTATTTCTCATGAACACATATGCAAAATCCAACAATGTATCAATATATATTAAAAGGACACTAATTCATAATTAAATGGCATTTATTAATAGAATAGAAAATTGGCTTACATCTAAAAAATCAATGCAATACATCATGTTATTAATATAAGGGATAATAACTATATTATTGTTTTAATGCATAAAAATGAAGATTCAATAAATTCAAAACCCATTAGTAGTTTAGAAGAAACAAACAAAAAACTCCCAGAGAGTACGACCCATAGGGAAGAAAACCTTCTCAGCCTGACAAAGAACACAGATAAAAACTCACAGCTAACATCATACTCAACAATCAGCAACCAAAGTTTTTCCCCTAAGAATGCAAACAAAGCATGGATGTCCACTCTCATCACTTCTATTTAATATTGCAAAGAAAATTCTAGACAATGCAACAAATCACCAAGAGAAATAAAAGTCATAAAGACTGAAGAGAAGTAAAGCTGACCTTACTTACAAACTACATGTTTGCACAGACAGAAAAATCCCAAGAAATCTATAAGTTATTATAATGAATTTAGCAAAATAGCAGGGTACAAGACTGATACATAAAAACCCACAGTTTTGGCCAGGCATGGCAGCTGATGCCTATGATCCTAAGGCACTGGTAGGCCAAGGCAGGTGGATTGCTTGAGCTCACGAGTTCGAGACGCTCCTGAGCAAAAGTGAGACTCCTTCTCCACTAAAAATAGAAAAACTGAGTCAAGAAGATTACTTGAGCCCAAGAGTTGAAGGTTGCTGAGAGCTATGATGCCACAGCACTCTACCCAGGGTGACAACTTGAATCTCTGTCTCAAAAAAACAACCACCAAAAAAACATACAGTTTTATAACTATCAGTCTAAACAAACACTAAAAAACAAAAACTAAAATAAAATTCCATTCCTAGAGTATCCAAATATATGATAGACTTAGGGAAAGATTCAACAAGTATGTGTATAACCTATATATTGAAAACTATAAAACATTGCTAAAATAAATTAAAGAACACCCAAATAAGCAGAAAATGTAACAAGTTCATGAATTGGACTATTCAATATTATTAAAATGTCAGTTCTCCCCAAATTGACTATAGTTGTTTCTTATAGACAATGAGAAGTCAATTGTAAAATTTATCTATAAATATAAACCTAGAATAGCCAAAGCAATTTTTGAAAGTAATTCAAGTAGGAAATTAAGACTTAAGGTATAATACTCAGTGTAGCAACAGTTTGGCACTGATTAAAGGACATATGAATCAATGGAACAGAATAGTACGTCCTGAAATGAACCCACACAAACATACTCAACTGATTTTCAACCAAGATACCAGGCAATTTGAAGTCTTTTCAACATATGATGCTGAAAGAATATAATATCTACATAGAAAAAAATTAACAATTGCCCCTTACATCACAATATACACGAATATCAGTGTGAAATGATTCATAGATATAAATATAAGAGATAAAAGTAGAAAACTTCTAGAAACTTAAAGGCAACTCTCTGCAACGCTGACACAGGCAAGTTTTCTTTTTTTTTTTTTTGCACTTCTTGGCCGGGGCTGGGTTTGAACCCGCCACCTCCGGCATACGAGGACAGTGCCTTACTCCTTTGAGCCACAGGTGCTGCCCCGGCAAGTTTTCTTTATACAACACAAAAAGCAATTATCATAAAAGAAATAATAAACTGGACTTGATCGAATTTTAAAACTTTTGCTCTACAAAAGATACCTTTAAAGAAAATGAATAACCAAGTTACAGAATGAAGAAAATACTCCTGATATGTATCAGAATAGACAAAAAATACACAAGTTCTTCCACTCAACATAACCTAAAAAAAGCTTTTAGAAAGTTTATATGCATCCATATATATGTGTTTATATAAAAGCAGACAACTGTAGTTTAAGGACCTGTAAAGCATAAGCAAAAAAGTATACTTTGAAAGAGCCATTTTTTCATTTATTTGTAGAAATAATTAAAATTGAGCATATCACCTGTGTCCGAGAAGTCGGTTTTCCTTTGGTATCAGTAGAATATTTGCCTTTATTACTAATACGTGCTGCTTGTTCTTTACAGAAATTTATATGTCTATCAGCTGCGTTTTCATTGAATCTCCTCTGGCAATATGGACATTGGATATAATCTAAAATAGATAAAAAGAGAAACATTAATAACATAATAATTGAAGTGGACAAAAAAACCAGAAGATTTTAAGAGCAGTCATTTGAGATGTGAAAGTAATAACATCTGACAAACAAAAACTCCTGTTTCCTTATAACCACCCAGGCTGAAGTCAATTTAGTGAAGACTTTTAAGAAAAAGATCTGCTACAACATGATACATTCTAATTTTCTTCTGGCTTTGAGTCAAATTTGAGGAGGGGAAAAAAAAATCAAAAAATAAATCCTCAGTACAAAAAATAAGTAGAGAAAAATGTTATTTATTTTTTGCTTCTATAATATCATATTTTTTAGTAATAAATATATACATATTTTACATGGCAGACTAGTTGAGCTATAACATGTAACATTAAAATACATTTAAAATATGAGCTCATCTATTAAAGTCTTTTATCTATCTGAAATTGTCAAATCTTTAAAGTGTGATTTTCTCTTAAAGATCACAACAGATGGAAGAAGCGATAAAAATATACGTCGCTAACATAATTAATTCAAATTTAAGAAACAGCAAATGCTTCCTAGATAAAATATCCTTCCAAAATACAAAGTACCATATACTGTAAATTAAACTTCTTTGAAAATTATCCTAGAATCAAATTTTGCTTCATTATAAAAGATGTGAACTGAGACACAGGGAATCAATGTAAAAATTCACTAGTGTAAAATAAAGTCTCAATTTATTTCAACAGGTTTACTTTTTGATAAAGAATTTTCCTTTTTAAAGTTATTCATTGGAAGCTCAGAAATTTGTCCTGCTTAATAGCAGAGTAGATCCACAACTGAGGCAAAAAAAGAAGTGATTTTTGTTAGGCCCAAGAGATTATTTCTTAAATCCAAATTATACTGAAGAACTGGTACTTTTCTCTGACTTACATTAGGCATAAGAAATGTACTAATGGTAAGATGTAATGTCTAAATACCTCCAAAGCAGAAAGAGAACTCAAATTCATGGGGAAAAGAAAAGTAATATTAGAAGAGACCCAAGACCAATTGAAGCATCCTGAAAACATCCATAAATTAATTACTAATACTCTACAACAGAGGTGGGCAAACTATGGCCAGCCAAATCCTGCCTGCCTGTTGCCTGTATTTATAATAAAATTTTATAGAAACACAGCCAAATATATTAATTTAGTATTGTCTATGGCTTACATGATACAACACTGACAGAGTTGAGTAGTTGCGATAGTAACCTTGTGGCCTACAAAGCTGAAGATATTTATTCTCTGCCCCTTTATAAAAATAGCTTGTCTGTCTCTATTCTCACTTTTGAGAAGGCAGCCACTTCCGTCTCTCTCTGAAAGTGTTCTAAAGCGTTCTCTTTGTTCTTAAACTCTGTTATACTTAAAAAAAAAAAAAAGAAAAAGAAAGACAGAAAGAGCTTGCCAACATCTCTTCTGTAATAATTTTTAAAATGATCATATGTACATTTGCTTTTTTTTTTTT